ATCACCTGGGAATCTTTTTAAAATCCTGATTCTGGGCCTCATCATCCGGGAAATTCTGTTTCTTTGTTATGGCATGGGGCCACAACATTAGTAACAAAGAAACAGAATTTCCGGAGGATGAGGCCCAGAAATCAGGATTTTAAAAGGATTCCCAGGTGATTCTAATGTGCAGCCAAGGTTGAGAACCACTGCCCTAAACAATACCATATAACAACTATTTATATCGCATTTACATTGCATTAGGTATTACAAGTAGTCTAGAGATGGTTTAAATATACGGGAGGATGTGTGTAGGCTACAGGCAAATACTGTGCCATTCTACGTAAGAGACTTGAACATCTGCTCACGTTTTGATACTGCGAGGGGCCTGGAACCAATCTTCTGTGGATACCGAGGGGCAAATGGAATTCATTTTGAACCTAATCATTTTCTAATGACTCATTTAAAGAAAAAAAACACACCTGCTTATATTTAATTATACAAAGATATTTCTAATATAATTAGTATGGAAAAATCAAAAAACTTAGAATAGTATAAATTAAAATGTAACAAAAAAGTATTCAAATATTCAGCTCAAATGTACAGCATTTCAAGAATGTCTTTCCCATAATAATTTTCTTTAAAAAGCCCCATGATTTTGAAACATTTTGGCACTATAATGAAAGAGTATCAAATTACACAACATAAAGCCCTGAAACACTATGACTATAATTTTAAGCGAGCTTTTATGAAATGCATGGAAGTTATAGAAGCATACTGACTGAAGCATAAAATCTGAGGTTCACAGAACTAATGACATAAAACTTTTTGCTGAAAAATAAGAAAACATCCAAGTTTTAAAAGAGGATAATTAAAATGCACTCAATGAATCTTCAAAGAAACAAATACTCATTTATGACACAGGTCCAAAAGCTTGCTTCTAAAATGTGGTTAAAAACTTTAGGTGAGCCCAAGCAAGAATAAAAGCATTACCAAGAATGTGCACGTGTTCAGTCACATTCTGCTCTATGAAGTCAGCTTTATTAATAACTAGAGGCCTGTTGCAGGAAGAGATTCGTGCAATAGGCCTTCCCTTCCCTTGGCTGCTGGCACCAGTTTTCCTCTGGCACCCAGGACCCAGGCCTTCGCTCTGACTGGGCTCCGGCCAGAGCCCCACCCCCTCCCCCCCACCAGCCATGAGGCCTCGTGGCTCAGCTGATCCCGGGGGCGTGAGGCCTCGCGGCTCTGCTGATCCTGGGGCCGTGAGGCCTCGCTGCTCGGTCAGCTTTGGGGCCATTTGGCTTGGCTCCACCGCTTGGAGCCTATGTATGCAAATTAACCGCCATCTTTGTTGGCAGTTAATTTGCATATCGCCCTGATTAGCCAATGGGAAGCGTAGCGAAGGTACGGTCAATTACCCTTTTTGTCTTTTATTAGATAGGATAACTTTAATTGCATAATAATTTAAATTACTTAATAGATTTAAGCAAAAGAATGTGAGCTTAATACCTACATTCTGGTGAGCAAATGAACTTTTAGCAATTTATAAATTTTAATTAATGACTGGATAATGAAAAAAATTAAAAGTTAAAGCAACTTAGTTTTCAGTACACTAATATAATTTTACTTTGTAATACAATATTAACTGTCACATCAAATTTCAATAGGCAAAGAAGGCCAAGGGGAGGGTTTATACAATATTCAATAAGCAATAATTATCTAGTCAGCGTACAATAACAAAATAAAAAATACTAACCTAGAAACACAGTAAAAGGATTTATTGTTTTTAAGTTCCAGAAATAAAAATAACAGAATAGCATGTAATTCATAACACCCTGGCCCTATAATTTCTAAACTACAGCCCAATTAAAACATTTAAGAAACAGGAGCAATCTACGTTGTTTTCCACCAGGTAAACAGACCTGAGAAAGTTACCTATAAAGAAATAGGCTTTAAAACTCTTAACCACAAAGAACCTTCTACTGTGACATGAAGATGTGGATACACCTCTCAGGACACGAAGCCATTTCCCACAATCCTGTCCACTGCTCAGTGGCAGGTTGCGATGCACCAGAGAGACAATATCTCACATCAACACCCAGCTCATTCGACCAAAGAAGCCTGTTTATACTCATTAGTATGTTAAAGTCATAGTACACAAATTTGGAAATATTTAGCTTGTCCATAAATAATGAATATTACCTCTGCTGTAAGCTTTAATAAAAGGCCTAAGCAGTCAGTCCAATAATGGGGAAACAGACTACATTCTAACTAAGGTAAAGATATATTCAAATTATTACTGTTTTCATTGCCAAGAATTAACAAATAAATACAAATAAAAAATTAAAGCAGCAAAATTACATCTACCACACCTCTAAGCAAAAAATCAATTCAGAGCTTGAATGCAATTTTTGCTTCATTTCTAAAAAAAAAAAAAATGCAGCGTTACTCAGAGACATTTCTAAATGACTAGCTTTGTAAATAAGCAGTGACTTTCTTTTCACAGCAGTCTACGCAGATTATACACAGAACTAAAAATTACTTCGCTGTTTTCCAGTATGTGGTATGAATCAACGTCTTTTTATTTTGAACAGTGATTTATTTTCATTCTTATAATAAACAAAACCAAGTTCTAAAATTTTAACTTTAAGCGCTTAAAATTTCAGATGAAGAACCAATAATTGGTAACATTTTCTGTAATTTCATATTAATAGTCTAATGACTACCGGGCAATCAATTTGAAGGAATCCATTTCCTGTGAGAAAAAAAAGAAAACATGCAAAAATCCCTCCCACACCAAAAACACATGTTCTGTCTTATTTTGTATCTAAACTTGTAAAATTTGTAGAAATACATGATCATTCTACATAATACAGATCTCCTAGAGTGTTTCTAAAGAAAATTACAGTTTTGGTCATAAGGAAGAAGTCTAAGATGGAAAAGAAGTGGAAACGGGGGAACCTGCAGGAGCGAGACTCCCACGCACAAGCTCGCTGCAGTTCAGCGGTCATATTAGCGGTTATGTTAGCGGTTACAGGTCAGCACATGATGTTCAAGGCAACTAAGAAATCAGAACACAGGTATTTCCTCTTCCTAGCGTTAACCATTCTTTCAAAAATTCTATCCATATAGGATTGTTGGGTGTTTTTTTCAAAGGGGAACAAAAAATAAATAGGAAAAAATGTTTCTATCCCCAAATTCATATAGACAATCAGTTAAGTGGACTAGACTGCCCAGTGACACCAAAATGTCAGTACCGTCTGAGGCAGGTGCCACCCCACCTGGTTCAAAACACGATCCAGTAAAACAAATACGTGGTGTTATGCCCCAAACAACTAGAAAGCATTTCATTATTGTTCTAATACCATGTTTAATGAATCCCTTAGATAATAGACCTGTAGAATGTTATATCTTAATGATATACCTGAATTATTAGTGGCAATAGAATTCAAAACTTCAATGAGTGTAAAAGCATCATTAGAAAAACTCAACCTTACTGTAAAAGGAGGGAGAACTTAGAGCTCAATACTCCTGCCAAATATATGAAGGCAGAAATTTTGTTTGTGGAAGACAGAGTGGAGCCTTATGTACCCACCCAATCAATACCAACCAGAATGCAAAATAGAGAATTGGGGGCGGGGGGAGTTAAAAAAAAAAAAAAAAGAAGGAAGAGGAAGAAGAAAAATGAGGAGAGCCAGGCAGCAAAAGAATCACTAGGAAGAATGAAAATAAAAGACAATGAGGCATGTGCATATGGCCCTCTTTTCCCTGCCATTTGTGTGCCTAGTAATTTACAATGTAAGTGGCATATGGGTCACACTAGCACAGGGGTGGGCAAACTTTTTGACTCGAGGGCCACAATGGGTTTTTAAACTTGACCGGAGGGCCGGAACAAAAGCATGGATGGAGTGTTTGTGTGAACTAATATAAATTCAAAGTAAACATCATTACATAAAAGGGTACGGTCTTTTTTTTTTTTTAGTTTTATTCATTTCAAACGGGCTGGATCCAGCCCGCGGGCCATAGTTTGCCCACGGCTGCACTAGCAGGCAAAAGATGAGCTTTCTGATGGATAGAGATGAAGGATTTGGAGCTAATGAGTTGTTTTGTTTTCTTGGTTTTGTTTTTGTTTTTAATTCATACCTGGAAGCCTTGAATCCTTGCTAAATATTCCAGCTGTTTTGAAGGTTGTACTGCAGAACAAGGGGGAGTAGGAGGACTTCCTTTTAACCCTATGGCTTCCGCCGTAGGAGATGTTCCATTCATAAGGAGTTCCCTGGCAATTGTGGCTGAACTATTCGAGGTGGGAGATATACTGAAGAAAGAGCTGGAGGGTTGGTTCATATCTTTGGGTGACAAATAGCCTAGGGTATTGCCAGAGATTACTTTGTGGCGGCTGGCTTCCATCTCTTGATAAACATCAGGAGACAAATGAAGAATTCCTTTTGGAGCTATAAATAAAATGAATGAACACTGTTATTACACTTACAAATAATGGAAATAGAAACATGTTATAGCATTATCAACTCAATGATTTCCATTGGTGTAGTAATGAAATGAGAAACACTGTCCATCAAGCATCTTCCTCATATTTGCAGAGGCAACTGCAGTCTCCATTTAGAGGTAAAGAATGTATGTTTCAATATTCCTAAAATTATTAGTTTAAAAAAGATCCAATAGCCCTGGCCAGCGTGGCTCAGTTGGTTGAGCATCAATCCATGCACTAAAAGGTTGCTGGTTCAATTCCCAGTCACGGCACATGCCCAGGTTGTGTGCTCAGTTCCCAGTAGGGGGCCTGCAGGAGGAAACATCTCACATCGATGTTTCTCTCTCTTTTCCTTTCCCTGCCCCTAAAAATCAATAAAAACATATTTTATTTAAGAAAAAGATCCAGCCCTGGCAGGTTTGGCTCAATGGATAGAGCACTGGCCTGTGGACTAAAAGGTCCAAGGTTTGATTTCAGTCAAGGGTACATGCATGGGTTGCAGGTTCAATCCCCAGTAAGGGGTGTGCAGGAGGCAGCCGATCAATGATTCTCTCTCATCATTGATGTTTCTATCTCTCTCTCCCTCTCCCTTCCTCTCTGAAATCAATAAAAAATAATCTCCTGTGAGAAAAAAAACCTGCAAAAATTCCTCCCACACCAAAAACACATATCCTTTCTTATTTTGTATCTAAACTTGTAAAATTTCAAACGTTCGACCATTTGACCGGTAGCTATGATGCACACTGACCACCAGGGGGCAGACGCTCAACACACGGGCATGGAAGCACGAACAGATTGATGAATCTCAGATTCGTGCACCTTTGGGGTCCCTCGGCCTGGCCTGTGGGGATCGGGCCAAAACCCACAGTCCGACATTCCCCAAGGGATCCCAGATTGCGAGAGGGCGCAAGCCAGGCCGAGGGACCCCACCGGTGCACAAATATGTGCACCGGGCCTCTGGTAATAAATAAATAAAAGATCCAACAAAATGATTTCAGTGAAACGTATATACAGAAGGGAAGCTGTGGCAGAACAAGGATAAGCGATGTGTGGACGTGCAATGGGAGATCAGATTAGGAATATACAGTGTCTTCACCCTGCAATTTAATATTTTATGAGCTCATAAAAGAGACACAAACACCCTAATCTATGCAGCAACTGAGACACAGCGGGTAAAATGAAGGCTGGGTCACTCTAAATCTGAGGTATCATCTCCGATATCCAATGGCCTACTGGTGCTCTCCTCTTCACAGACAACTCTAGCTCATGAACATGTCAAAAAGTGACAGGATCTTCTTCTCCCAACTGACACTGTCTCCTATCTTGGTTATTTCATCATGATACCACCATCTATCTGCTCAGTTGCCCAACCTAGACCCCTGGCAACCATCTTTGATTTACCCACAAACAAGTAGTTACCACATTCAGTCTAGAATATGCCCCTTCATCCTTAAGTTCATCATAGTTCAAGCCAGGTCATGGGTCGGTTGTGACAGCAAAAGGATAGAGCTTGGGCTATGCTATCAGGTGGTGGGGTTGTAGATACATTAAAAAAAGCACTTTCCTTTGACTACCATTTGTCTCGGAGATCTTTCAAACCATATTTCACACGGTTTGTTCTAATGTCTCTGGGTCAGATAACAACTCACAAATCACATTATCTTTCAAAATTATGGATAAATCACCACTTTTGAAGAATGTGCTCTCTGAGAGACACCGCTTAATTCCCTCGTGCTAGCCCTCCCCTCTCCTGCTATTAACCTTCTGATCCAAGACCTCAATATTGATTTATTTCCCAATAATTTATTTATCAATTATAGTTGTCATACAACTACAGCTTTAGGTGTACAACACAGTGATTAGACATTATATAACTTACAAAGCCATCACCCCGATAAGTCTAGTACCCATCTGACATTGTACATAGTTATTACAATATTATTGACTATATTCTCCATGATGGACTTTATGTACCTGTGGCTATTTTTATAACTTGTAATTTGTATATCTTAATTCCTTCCCCTTTTTCACCCATCCCCCACTCCACCTCCACTTTGGCAACCATCAAAATGTTCTCTGTATCTATGCATTTATTTCTGTTTTGTTTATTTTTTAGATTCCACAAAGTGAAATCATATGGTATTTGTCTTTCCTGTCTTATTTAAATTAACATAATATCCTCTAGGTCCATCCATGCTATCTCAAGAAGTAAGATTTCATTTTTTTATGACCAAGAAATATTCCATTATATATATGTACCACATCTTTTTTATCCAATTGTCTACTGATGAACACCTAGGTTGTTTCCATATCTTGGCTATCCTATAAAATAAAACCCTAATATGCAAATCAGAATGACCAGTCGCTATGACGCACACTGACCACCAGGGAGCAGATGCTTGAGAGGGAGGCGACCAGCGGCGGCAATCAGGGGGCAGGGCTGGCCAGTGGGCAGCACCAGGCCACCAGCCAAAGCAGGTGCCAGCGGGGGGCCCCCGATCACCCCGCCCACCGATCACCCCACAGATGGCCCTGATCACCAGCCAGGCCTAGGGACCCTACCCTATATATTAGGAACAGTCTCATAGATTTAAAAATTAAAACCTGGCAAGGCTACTCTAACACTGAAAAAACAGGATGATGCAGCGATTACATGCATGGACTCTGGCTTGCACATTTTGTGGTCAGCCCTGATTCTGACACTTATAACTGTGTGACAAAGCCAATTACTTAATTTCTCTCTGCTTCAGTTTTTCTACCCATAAGATGGGGGAAATGGCACTACTGCAAATGTAGCTGCCCATACAATAGCAAGATGCCTTTCACCTGTATGAAAAGTATGGTCACTGGTGCATGCAGTGTCCTGGATTGCGAGAGGGATGTCCGACTGCCAGTTTAGCCACATCCCATTCCCGAGGGGTCCCAGATTGCGAGAGGACGCAGGCCACGGCTGAGGGACACCAATACCACCACCACCCCTGCATGCACAAAGTTTGTGCACCGGGCCTCTAGTTGTAAATAATGCTGCAATGAATATAAGGATGAATGTCTTTTCAAATTAGTATTTTGGGTTTCTTCAAATAAATACCCAGAGTGGAATTGTTGGGTCATATGGATGTTCTATAATTATTTGAAGAAGTCCATATTGTTTTCCATACTGGATGCATCAATTTACAACCCCATCAACAGTGCACAAGGGTTCCCTTTTTTCCACAGCCTCATTAGCACTTGTTTGCTGATTTACTGATGATAGCAATGCTGACAGCTGTGAGGTAGTATCTCATTGTGGTTTAATTTGCATTTCCCTGATGATTAGTGATGTTTGATATGCCTGTTGGCATCTCTATGTCCTCTTTGGAGAACTGTCTATTCAGGTCCTCTGCCTTTTTAATTGGGTTGTTTGGTTTTTCCGTGTTAAGTTGTATGAGTTCCTTATATATTTTGGATACCAACCCCTTATCAGATGTATCATTGGCAAATATCTTCTCCCATTCACTAGGTTGTCTTTTATTTTGTTGATAGTTTCGCTGTGCAAAAACTCTTCAGTTTGATGTAGTCCAATTTGTTTATTTTTTCTTTTGTTTACCTTGCCCAATGAGACAAATCCAAAAAGATATTACTAGAAGTGATATCAAAGAGTTTACTGCCTATGTTTTCTTCTAAGAGTTTTATGGCTTTGGGTCTTATATTTACGTCTTTAATCCATTTTGAGTTTATTCTTGTATATGGTGTAAGAAAGTGACCCACTTTCATTCTTTTGCATATATCTGTCCAGTTTACCCAGCACCATTTACTGAAGAGACTATCTTTATACTATTGTTATTCTTGTCTCCTTTGTCATAAATTACACACCATATAATCATTGGTGTATTTCTGGGTTGTCTATTCAGTTCCATTGATCTATATGTCTCTTCTTATGCCAGTACCATGCTGTTTTGATTAGTATAGCCTTATAGTATAGTTTGCTATCAGGTAACATGATATTTCCAATATTTTTCTTCTTTCTCAAGATTTCTTTTGATATTCAGGGGTTTCTGTGGTTCCATATAAATTTTAGGACTATCTGTTCTAGTTCTGTGAAAAATGCCACTGGAATTTTGATAGGGATTGCACTAAATATGTAGCTTGCTTTGGGTAGTATACTAGTAGACATCTTAACAATGCTAATTCTTCCTACTCATAAGTACAGTATATTCTTCCATTTATTTGTATCTTCTTCAATTTCTTTTTTCAATGTATTATGGTTTTCAAGTACAGGTTCCTTTACATCCTCAGTTAAATTTATTCTAAGGTGTTTTATTCCCATTGATGCAACTGTAAATAGAATTTTTTTTCTTAAATTCTCTTTCTCATAGTTTGTTATTGGCATAAAAAACACAACCAATCCCTTTATCCAGATGCCGATAAGGTGCTCCATCCTCCTCAGGAAGCTTAGGCCGTGTTGGGATGAGGCCTTCCCTTCGTCCAGCAACACCAGGGATGGCCGAGTGTGTGTCCCAGGAAACCTCAGGCAGTTCCTTACCATTAGAGAACGAAGAGGGCGTTGGGAATGGGGGTAGGCAGGGGCCAAGCTCCATGGGGCTTTACCTTGATGACATTAAATATATGAGTTGTAGCATATAGGCCTAACCCAGTGGTCGGCAAACTGCGGCCTGGCAAAAAGCGGCTTGCGAGCCACATGCGGCTCTTTGGCCCCTTGAGTGTGGCTCTTCCACAAAATACTGGCTTCTGCGCATGGGCCAAAGAGCCGCATGTGGCTCGAGAGCCGCAGTTGGCCGACCACTGGCCTAACCAGTGGACACAGACAACAGGGGGGTGAGGGCATGAGTAGGGGGGATGGGGGGTAATGTGGGGATAAGGACACATATGTAATAACTTAATCAATAAAAAAATATATATATGAGTTGTTATTTCTCTAATTTATATGCCTTAAACTAATATATCAACCCTATTTTATGGATTTAG